CGTTGTGACGGTCTGATTGACTGTCCTGATAATTCCGACGAAGACAACTGTGGTATGTCCAGATTCCAGCTTTGGTTTTGACGGTTTTTAGTTGATTGCTTCTGCGAAACGTTGACTGTCGATTTGATCATCTTTACAGCGATTACATATAGATCTAGTTGCCTGTTTCATAGTTTTAGTGATCTTCAGTAGGTTTTCCAGTAACGACTAATTCAACAGTTTGATGCTTTAGCTCTTGGTAGGTTTGAAGACTGAACTAATTGGTTTGTTTTGAGGTTCTTTATAACAAAAGATAACAGTTTTTCTCATTTAATATTGCTAAATTTCATACATGGTAGGGATGTAGAGGTACACCTTTGTAAGTTAGTTCATTTAACAAGCTTTGACATGATTTTACTTAAAGGTCGGAAAAGTAATTTAAGCAGATATTAAAAGGTTATTTTTTTGTTCTCAAATAGTAAGCAGTTGCCCGGGTGGACAATTCCGATGCAACAATGGAATCTGCCTAGACAGCCGAAGACGTTGCGATGGTTATCCAGATTGCCCGGAGGGTACTGATGAACAATATTGTCCTGGTGGTTCCCAAAATGCTACCAGTATGTTTTGTTTTGCAAAAGAAAACTATGCTATCTCTTTCTTCTATCTTATATTCTTCATATATCTGGAGTGGAACTATCTTCTAGATTATTACTAAATCTCTTAATAATTAATAATTAATAAGGTTTTATTCATGTTTACACGTTCGATACATGAACCATTTTACACTAACACTAACTTTTCCGTGTTTCTTATAAAATTAACGTTTTTAAGCTTAAATAACCCTGCAGAATGGTAAAGAGATGGATAAAAGTTGACTGTTGTAAAGTACTTTAACTCAATAACTAGTGAAATGTATGACCAAATTCTACTAATCTTCAAATATACGGTGAATAATGGTCGTTTCTTATCAATAAATGGAGAGACTAAAATAAATGAATTGTCCACAAACATAATTGATGTATTTACAGACTTGTGACTAAACACGTAGGTGAGAATATGTAGTAAAGTAAAAAACAGCAAAATAAATAGATTACAAGAATCGGGCACATTTTGGATAGCCACAGGTTAATTCAAGATCTAATAAATGGAGACTCAGTCGGTGGTTAGTGATTAGTAAATACCATCCTTATATTACCACTGTATTTATTACTAAGTATCGGCACATACAGGATTGGACGATACTGAAAAAGCCCTACTGGGAATTCTGTCAAATGAAATTGATCTGAAGGGAAAACAAACATACATAATGTTCTTCACTAATATTTTCACTAATATTAAAGATAAAAAATATATATTAAGGAATGATAAACTGCGTTAAACTACATACAGTTCAATAAATTCAATCTGGAACTGGCACTTTCATCTGTAACAGTCCGTAGAAGTATTTTGCTGTTAATTATAGTTTTTGGTCGTATAAATAGTCCTAGTTGCTCCAGTATCCACCAACAGTGTATAGTTACTACCATTTACTTCGCCATCTACGTATACAGTGTTATCGCGACATTTCAAAGAGGCTCTCAGTTTCTTGATTTTAATTCCAGCACCTGATAGGCTTCGTCTTCTTGTCAGCAGGGCTTTTTATCATATTAACCAGTTGGTCTGATGCCAGTAATTGGAATTGGAAAAGTGCTTCCGCAGATTTAGGAAGGACAAGAAAGAGTACTAGGTTATTTCAGTAAAGTGCTCTCCAAACTTGAGCGAAATTATTGCGTCATGAGAAAAGAATTACTTTTAGTTTGTGAAGTTCGTGGAACACTTTTACCAATATCTATATGAAAGGAAAGTTTTAATCCAGACCGTTCATGGCTGATGCAGATAAAGAACCCGAAGGTTTCAAGAGAACGACTGTAAGATCGAACATTGAGCTAAAATAAGCAATTGAAATGCCGATTTTCTTTTCAGAAGACTGTCCCAACAGAGTTCTCTTACTGCATCAGAACAGAATCCAAAGAAACTGTACAACTAAAAACAATTGTAGTTAACGACGAGTGGGCCCCTATCAAAATTAGAAAAAGAACAAGAGGACGATCACGTTTTGAAGATGATGCAACAATGGAAAGAGAATAATCGTCGACCTACGTTTCAAAACCAGTAGTTAAGTCATATTTGGCTCAGTGGCACTCTTTTATCCTAGAAGAAAGCTTATTAAGGCGATTGCGCTATATTTTATTTTATATTTGAATTTCCCTCGCTTTTTCTATTTTAACAATACCAGTTAGTAAGGGGTTACACAGGGTATTTTACAGGATCTAATGAGTTTTGTATAAAAATCTTACTTATTTTAATGACCTGTAGTATTTTACAAAAGAAAACACCAAGTTTTTACTGATGCACTACTTTTTTCAATTAGCAAAAACTGGATACAGGGTGAGTCAAAACTCAAATTTCTCATTTTTTTAAATTGAACCACCCTCTATTTTAAATCGTTGTTTAAAAGTACCCTAATTATAATTTAATTTTAATTATGTAGTAATATAAACATTTTAACGGTTTACTGATAATAGAAAATAAATTATGTTTGTTAATTAGTAATTAGAATTTAATCAGCTGTAATTTATTATCGACTGAATAAATTTCTGACAATATCTAATAATACTTTTACAGAAAAGTAAATAAAAATTACAATCACATTACACCTAATTTTTTAAATTTATTAAATGTTATTTTAAGTTAGTTTTGAAAACACTCAATACTAAATTTGTTTTCTAAAGAGTCTCGCCAGTTTTTTATATGAATTTTAGTTCTGAATGAATGAATATGGTAAGGAATTTGTGAGAATTCAATAAAAACAAGGCTTTATAAAGAATGATTCCCAGAACATCGAACACTAAATAAAACCTTATGCAAAAAATGGATGAATCGATCCGAACAGAGTCAGTTTTATATGAGAAAATTGAAAGAATAAAAACTGTTGCTATGGATGAAAATGAATTAAATGTTTTGTATGCAGTTACCAAAAATCCGCATATAAGTATAAGAAATATTTGAAGAGAACAATAAATAAGTTAGTTATACTATAATACGAAGAATACTTTTCAAATCCGTATTATACCGTATTATGCGGTACTGCCGCAATAAAGTTACAGACCTTTAAAATAAACTTATTTTATTTTATAGAAAATAATGACAACCATAAAAAATGACAACACGCAGAAAGACTTTGCGTTCATGACGATACCGAGGTCCTAAAGAACCTAGATAATGCAAAACTAAAAAAAATACTAAAAAGGATAAAAAATTTTGGGCTTGTGTAGTTACTGTATAGTGGCACAGTAAAACATATCAAAATTGTGTGCACATTTTATTGCCCGAGAGACACTTAGGGCCGACTAGTGGGGGGGTAGCCGGGACTAATTCCCGGGGCCCGAACTCAAATGGGGGCCCGGCAGCGGTATAAGGGGGCCCGGCAACTGAATTTTGAGAAATCCGACAGAAGACAAGAGGGGAAGTTTTTGGTTGGGAAGGTTTTTTTTTAGAAAACTCAATTTAAGTACAGGAGGAAAAGTTTTACCTTGAGGACCTTTTTTTTGTTCTAGAAAAAACAATTCAAGTAGAGAAGGAAAAGTTTATGCTTTTTTTTTATCACGGAGCCCGATCTAGAGAACTTCCTGGGGCCCGGTCTGGCTCTCGGCGGCCCTGGAGACACCAATGGGATGATCTTAGTTAATTAGCCTAGTTTTATGAAATTGAAACAAAATTGTACGTTTGTCGCCGTTTAAATTTAAAAAACACCCAAAACAAATAACTAGGTCCAGCTTTAGGCATAGGGAATGCTTAACTCAAATGAAATTATAGATATAGCAGGGACAAAATTTGGAAAGACTTCTGTCAATTCTCCCACTTTATACACAGGATTTGACAGTTTTGACGCGGAGCTAACCGAAGTGAACGCGAAACCTTGGCGTAGAAAATTATTTTATAGATGCTAATAAAAAAATTAACTTAAATAGTTTAATATATTGTGAATAGCTGTTGAAATTTCGTGAAATTATGATTTGGGATATTATTACTTGTTTGAGTTATTATTTGTAGCCCATAAATTGATTTATTTGCCCAATTTCGCCGGTGATAATTTTAAATGTTTGGTATTACTTTTATTCTATGATACGACTATGGTGAACAAACATTGCCGCGAAAATTTTTGAAGTCTTTCTGCGGGGTTTGACGTTTACCACCCATCTACCTACCAAAAGCCTTTCCAACTTCTGTCCCTGCTATAGAGTACTGTTGAACAATGATATAAAATCAGGGCGATAAATAAAAAAAAATTAAAATGATACCTGTTTGAATGCAATAGAATAAAATTTCACTATTATCGAAAAACCGTGGCTGCAAAAATTGTAAATTGGTTTTCATTAATTGTTTTTTTTTTTGTAGAATACAGTTCATTGAAATGGATACGATTTTCATATAAATTTGATTATATCTTGTGAACCCCATACTAATTGGTATTGGTAAAATGAGAAAACTAGGGTAATTTAAAAAAACACGGAGTAATCCGTTTAAAATACTTAAGTTTAAAGTTTATTTTAGACTGAATTTATTATCTTCGACAAAGTTTGAAATGTTTAGTTTAACGTTGTCTAACATTCTGCGAATATATTTTATATATCTATTTGTAGCAGAGATAATATTCTTCCCCCTAGCGGGTGATATTGATTGAACAAAAATCAGACTAGAATTTCAGCCATCAAGGAAAGAAGAAGAATAAATATTTCCTTTAAATAGTCAACTACCCATAACTCCTTTACCATTCCGTGTGGTTGAATAAACAATAATTGGCTGTCAAATTTAGGTGGAGTATATTAAATAAAAATAAAAACATTAATAAAAATTATAAACAGAACTAATAATCATATTTAAAATATTTTTGATTGGTTTGTAAATAGGTACTAATTTAAAATCTTACAATTGAATTTTTTTTTAAATAATCATATTATAATGTATACTCTCGTTAATAGCGTGCTCAAGCGATGAATTTGACTGTGGAGATAAATGTATCGATATCGGTTATCGATGCGATGGAGTCGAAGATTGTAACGATGGAAGAGATGAAAATAACTGTGGTAAGTAAGCTTTCTACGCTTAGACCGACAGCCGAATACATGCATTTAGTGATGCTCTATTTACTTCTTTAAAAATGTACTCAATTGCCTTTTTGTCGTCTAGAGGTTTGTTCCAATAAAATTCCAATCTATTTGGTATCTATATTAGCTTAATGTAAGAGTTAGAATGTCGATGTAAATGGAGAATGTTTTAGAAAATTTAATGCTGATCTTGGATATCTCTAAAACATTCCTTCTTTAACGGACACACTGTTAATTTGCAGACAATAATGGATTTGACTTGGGACAAACCCTTTATTTATGTTCGCTTTAAACGCTTTTTTTGGGAAAACAATAGAAAATATTGGCTTGGGGTTTGGAATTTTAGATTTTAAAAAAATTATTATTATATTAAAATGTTTAACTCAATATAGGTACAAAGTATCATATATTAGCATAAAAACTTTTTTTATGTTCCATAAAAAACTATATTGATTTGTTTATTTCTCAAATAAACAATTTGCATTTGTTTAGTAATACAATAATTTAACAATTCCACCGTTGCCTTTTTTATTTTAATTCTGATTTATCTACTTCTTGGTCATGATGACCGCATGCCTATTTCAACTGATAAATTGATATTTCATTGAAAGGTATGACATTTTAGATTAATATAGCTGTATCAAGCTGTAAATCCAACAGCTGTAGCCTTTAGAACGATTCCCATCTCCTGATTAGATATCTTCGAATAACATAATGTCCTTTTGCTTTTTCTACATTTTTTCTTTGCTTTTCCAAGGGTTACAAAACTATTTTAAATCTCTAGCAATTCAAGAAAACTTGAAAGAACAGATGTTATTTACTCCTTTTATGGAAAATTCTTCTTTCTTTGCTTTTAAAACTGTTCTAGTAGTGTAGTGCCAGTCAATCGGAATTATGTTTTCTGTGAGGGGCTGAATGTCACAAGCTAAATTGTTAATTTATTGAAAACTAATAATTTGGAGATTCTAGAACCGAAGGTAATCCAAAATTAGACCGTGCAGAAGGGCACTATTTTCAAAAATCGAGATATTGATGCCATTGTATAGAGCGTAACGTGTACTACAATATGACCGAAAAATCCAAAAAGGCACTTTACAAGTTAGGTAAATGTATTATTTTAAATATTTATTAAACCATTGGGGCTTACGGTCCAAAAAAATTAAAAATGCGATTTAGTCGGTTTTATCTTAAGAAAAAATTGTTATGTTAACACTACGAAATTAGCTAAACAAGATTTTAAAACAAGTTACTTTTTATAAAAGCCTTTTTTGTGGAACACGTTACGCTATATGCAATGGTACCAATATATCGTTTTTTCAAAATAGTATCCTTCTGCACGGTCTAATTTTTGATTACCTCCGGTTTTAGAATCTCCAAAATATTAGTTTTCAATTCACTAACAATTCAGCTTGTGATACTTAGTCCCTACAGAATTCATTTCTAGAGCCATTTTGTAACAAATAGCAGAGCACCATACTATAGGTATCTGCTTTTAAAACTGTTATAAGAGCTTCTGCTGTTATGGTTCTTCCAATCCTTCTCTATATATTTCAAAGAAAGTATAAAACTACTCCAACTATCTATTAATTCAAAAAAACTTAGAACAATGTCCTTTACTTTTTTTCTGCAAAAATATCTCTTTTTTTCTTTGCTTTTAAAACTGTTCTAAAAGCTCCTACTCCTCTGGGTCTTCCAATACTTCACTGTATTATTTTACTATCCCAACCAACTAGGAATTTAAGAAAACTTAGAAGAACGGATGTCCAACCCACCTTGAGTCACCTATAATATACGACATTCTAATCACTGTTTAATTTTAGGTTCCTGTAAAGACAACGAATTCCAATGCGATACCGATCAACAATGCATTAGTCTGGATAGAAAATGCGACGGAAGCTCTGATTGCTCCGATAATTCTGATGAATTTGATTGTCCTGGGCACAAATGTTCTTCCAACGAATTCACATGTGACGATGGTTCTTGCATCAACGATTACAAGCAGTGTGATCGTAACAGAGATTGTCCAGACGGTTCCGATGAAACAGAATGTCGTAAGTGTAAAATTATATAGGTTTTATTTAAAATTTCAGCTTTGTAGAAGGGTAAAAATGTTTCTTATAGGTAAAGATTCGGAAAAAAATAGAAATCTCAAAGAAATCAATAGAATAGTTTTTTCAAGTAATTATTTTACATTTGAGATTTTTGTATAGAAATCATAATTTAAATCCAGATCCATCTCAAAAACGATACCCTGTATAACAAAATTTTACAAATATAGTAAGATATTACAAAAGAGCGGACAACTGATTAGTTTTTACAATTTTACGCTTTCATTTTAGAGCGCCTAATTAATTCTCACCAGGAATTAATAACTTAAAAACCCAGTTATTTAAAAAATTACATAGCCAAGTTAATTCATTGCGACCTAAAATATCTTTTGTGACTCCTTTTATCGCTAATGCTTGTAACGACCCTTCTGATCCTATCTTCTAAAGAAAATGTAGGATTTGGAGTGGCTGCAATTTGGGCAGATCCCCCTCTTATATTTGGTATACTCCTAAGTACCCTTAAATTCTGGAGTACTACACATTTGGTCAAAATGGAATGAAGTTTTTGTCCTTCTGCTCACAGAATATGCATTATTTTCTACTAGTTCCAGTTTACTAAGGCGTCCATTGTGTTAGCAGTGCCAGATAAGAATCCCTGGTATAATACGTAGTCTGTTTTGACTCGAAGAGATACAAGTTTTCGATATTTTCTGATTTTAGTCACCTAGAAGTATCTTAGCCTGTCTTTTTTTTAATCTATTCTAATATTGAAACCGCAAAACGGCTCAGGCCCACAAAGGATGTTTGAATCCCTTTTCTTGCGAATATCTGCAATATGTTACCCTTTACTATGTTATCTCTTGAGACCCAAGTGAGAGCAACTCTATTTTCCTCGACCAGCTTATTCGGTTTATCTATCTCCACAACATTTTTCAGCTCAGCGCTTTGATGGCTGCTTGACTATCACACATGATAATAATCTCTTGTCTGCGATAGTTTCTCTGGATGTTGAACTCGATACATTTCTAAATAGCGTGAATTTTCACCTGGAACATGATTGAGTATATACCTAAACCTTCAAAGTACTTGGTTCTATGCTCATCACTCCTATTCCAGTTCCTTCTGTGGTTTTTGAACCATCGGTGTACCAGTAAAGTGAATAAATTTCTAAACACGATTGATTTTTGGCTTCATTATTTCTTGTAGCATAGCTCTGTGGTTTAGAAGTTCACAAAACTACTTTTTTTTCTTTTCTTCCTGGGGCGCATCTCAAGTAATTTCGGTCCTGGAACTAATAGTCTTCCGTCCTGATTATTCTGTGAGGTTGAGGTTGAAGATTACCTGCATTACACCAGTAGGACAAGTTCTCATTACACCGGTGATGCAATCACGGGCTAGTCTTTGTACTTTTGTGCTACTATCATAGTAGCTAAACTAGTTCTATTAGTCTAGGCTGTAGCCCTGTAAGTAATGATTGGTTTCACTATTGCTGTATACATGTATCGCAGAGTGTTTGGCATATATCCCCATCCTTTTTTCTTAATGTTCTTTCATACCATGCACTAGAGCTTTTATGACCTTATTTACTATTTCCTTTTCATGTATGCTTCAGAAAAGTTTGTTGCCCAGGTTTTTCCATCCTATATCTATCCCGTCTAATTTGACGGTTTTCAAAATGGAGTTCTATTGTCTTTAAAAAATCTACTTTATTGTTTTGATGTGGTTTATACCTCGAGGTATCATCTTCTGGTTTGTTTTAGTCCTATTTGGCCTATATCGCACAGGATATTTTCGAACTTGCCTTTAGTAAATATGCATCTGCATAGAAGTTCGTCTACGGACATCCTTCGGTTGTGCATATAGAGATGGTGTCCTTTCCTATCTCGGCTGTCCCACACAAAAACACAGCAACTAACTTTTTTTTACCAAAATTGAGATTTTAGTAAAAACGTACTTACTGTATTTTGCTCTGCATTTCTGTATTTGAAAAATAAAAATGAGTTTAAAATGGCGAAGTTACGACCTTGCCCAACACAGTAATTACCTCTAGCATAACTAGAAATCCATGAAAAAACACAGTAAGTACAATCACCTTTGCAGAAACACAGTAACTCAATAATTTCTTTTGCGCCTTTTATGAAAAAAGTTAATATGTAATTTTCATTTTTTTGTATTTTTGAATGGTGTTTATTTATTGGTTTTGTTACTTCAAACAAAAAAAACTTCCCAAGTGATTATTTTATAGAACACTTGGGAAATTAGGTTTTTGCATATCTTATGTTTCAAAGGCTATAATAATATTGCCAGAAATAGTATTTAAAAAGAAAGTAATCGTATTCAGTGGCGTAGCAACGGGGGGGGGGGGGGGGGTTTGGGGGTCAGAACCCCTCATGGAGACCTTCGTGTCACTGTTTCCGCTATCTTATTGGCGCTGATCGCTATTACCTGTTTGTTAACCCCCCACCATAGTACTCAGAACCCCCTCCCACGAAAAATTTCTGGCTACGTCACTGATCATATCGGTTCTTTTTTATTTTATTTAAAAAAATACTTATTTAAAACACAGTAAAAGTAGTTACTGTATTTTTAGCAATTAAAAAAAAAAAATAAAAATCAATACAAATACACTAACAGCAGTGTATTTTTGTTTTTTCGTTTGTTTTTATTAAAACCAATCAATTACTGTGTTTCTTTCTAGGTTTCTTATTTAATTAAACACACAAGTACCATACAAAACCTTATTATTGAGGAACCGATCCCACTTTTTATTAATTTATATAATTTATTTGACACCTAAATCATAACTAAGGTTCTACCAGTAACCTCCAAGTTTTGTGAGTAAACGTCAAAAAATACAGGAAGATCATTAAAAATGCCCTTTTCTTGAATTTTACTAAAATGCAATTACTGTGTTTTTGCGTGGCGCAGCTGAGATCTGCGTGTTGCGTTATCGTAGCTAGAAACTGAGCCATTCATCTGGATGCGGTACTATATTCTCCTCTATATGCGAGTGTTTATGTACCGGGATCTGATAACCTTAATCTTTGATAATGGAACCTGTCTACCTATAAAACAGTCACGGTGGGCTTGAATATGATTTAAATGCGAAGTTTTAGCACCACCGATTTTCTTTCAGCATTCGATTCCTGGAGTCATAAGAAGGATAGAAAAAGAAATCCACCGTAAGCCTTAGAGCTGTTTTCGAAAAAAATGCCTTTTTTACGTGGAAAGATTCAGTGTTTGAGATATCGAGATTTTTGTAACTTTTGCTCACTTCTAGTTGCCAAGATTCTCAGAAACAGGTTAAAATAGAAAAAAATTGAAAGAATGATTTTTCATTCGAATGAGTTTTGCACTAGTATGTCAACAAGCGAGAATCATATCTTTTATTTCCATCCTTGTCTGATTTTCGGGGTCATCGAACTATCACCAACCCCTACCCCCCGATTCTTTGTTTACGTTTTGTTATACTGGAGATCGAATGATCAAGGTTATTCGTGCAATTAGTTAAAACTTCAGATAGTCTTCGACCCTTCGAGGTGAAGTTGTAATTGTTCTCTTCGAAATTTCAATTTCTTGGGAAAGTATGGACAGAAGATCAAAGGATCATGCAACCCATCAAGAAAATCGGGCGCGTATATGTTTTCTCTGTCTGCAGAAGAAGAATTAAATGGTTAAAATCAGTGGTGCTTTATGTGTGAATTTAAAAAAATGTTTTATATAGCGCTTGCAAAATTATCATATATCGGTCAGTGAAGTGTGAAACTATCGAGAAAATAGCTCTGCCGGACTATACAAAGTTCAAAATTTTGGAGAAGAATACTCGGGCAAAAACTCAAACGGTGTGCAGTTGCACAATGTGTGAGTTGGTACGAGATCCAGGGCCATATAACTTCACCAAAAAAAAATGACAAGAACAAAAAGAAGAGGAGCAACAAGTTAAAAAAAAAAATATGGTGAAACTTTTTCGGTAGGGAAAAAACATTTTTATACCCCAAAAAAACGCTTCCCGAGTTTCAAAGAACATGTAAGTAACTCTTTTCCCCTGAAACAGAGAGAACATTTGGCGTGTTCTTCAATAAAGGACATAGTTTTAAATGAAGACACACATTCTCGCAGCTCGAGCAATAAAACCACTACTTTATCTCAGATTCACGGAAAGCCACTCAACGTTGAAATTACCCAGAAACTAAAAAATCAAACTATAAGCCCGCAACAGATTTCTGCGGGAGATGTTTGTAAAATAGCCACAAATTACGGCCACTCCAGCAATGTAGTTCAGGGCATAGCAAGGGACTTACGCGTTGGCTCCCAAAAAACAAACTTGTTTAAACCACATCTGAAGACGAAACTTTCTACACGCCGCCACAGGCTAGATGAATTTTTTGATTTGAAAAGTTGCCCCATAATAACATCCAAAGCTGGCGAGAAAACGACCTCTACAAAAATATTGGCATTTTGTACAGATGTTCCGGCCTTAATCGATTTATAAAAGCAACTCGAAACAATGATAATCCCCATTTGAAGTTTGGCATTGATGGTGGGGGAGGTTTTCTCAAGATTTGCCTTTCAGTGCAAGAATCTGATTCTGCTATAATAGACGGTCGACAAAAATATATAGAGGGCGTAGCTAAAAGATTCAAGGATTTTGGAGTCAAAAAATAATTGGTTGTGGCAATAATTGCAGGTACACAAGAAAACCATGAAAATGTGAGAATGTTATGGTCTCTCTTACAGGTCAATGATTTTGCCGGCACAATTGCGACCGATTTGAAACTGGCCAACATATTGGTAGGAATCATATCTCATGCCAGTAGCTTTCCCTGTACTTAGTGTTTCGCCTCGAAAGAAAGTTTGGACACTTGTAGGGAGAGGTGGACTATACAAAACTGCCAAGAAAGTTATTGAGAATGGGAAAAAGCCAACTTCAAAAAGTCCCTTGCAAAAAATGACAAAAATTGCTCGAATTTGCCTGTTCTTTCTAGAGGCACGGATGACTCCAGACAGACTCTTGACATCATTACACCCCCTGAATTGCATTTAATTATCGGAGTAGTGAACACGCTTTATAATGGATGAAAATGGAGTTTGAATTTGAATCTTTTGAGTGGGCCAAAAGGTGCAATGTTGGCCACGAATTTGTGCATGGGGCCCTTGCATTCGCGGATAATTCATGCAAATTGCTTTTGGATAAAACTCATGTTTTGCAAAATTTATGCAGGCCTGGTTGTCTGAATTATGTTAAATCTTTCCGAGAATTTCAAGCAGTGGTGGAATCTTGTTTTTCAATAACTCTGGAACCTAACTACAGAGAAGCAATAGACAGATTTAAAAGAAGTTATCTAGATCTACAGATCAGTGTTACTCCAAAGATCCATGCTGTGTTTTTCCATGTACCAGAGTTTTGCGCTAAAACAAAACAAGGGTTGGGGTTTTTTAGCGAGCAGGCCATGGAATCTGTCCACCATGATTTTGGGATAACAAAATTTAAAGTAAAAAAATATCATCCAGATTATGGAAGTAAATTACTGACCGCACTCCGAAAATATAATAGTCTTCATTTATAACTTGTGACTCAATAGTTGATTTGTTTAAAAAGCCAATAATTTCGTTTTCTGTATTACTGTTCTTTCTGTTCTTTACTTCAGACATTAATTCACAATTACCAAACTATTCATTCTTGTACAATCATTATTTAAACATTTTTTTTCAATAAAATTATCGTTTCTGATCAAAATTTCAATTTTTCATCATTCCTTTTCCCGTCAAAAGGTGCGTGCAGAGTTTTTTTTTTTGGTGTGGATCCAGGAAAAGGTTTGTCTGTTTTTGATCTTCGATTGGGGAGTCTTTGGATATCACATTTTTACCAAATTGAGCGTGTTCCAAGTACAAAAATGCCCATTTTTGTATCTTTGCATTATTCATTGAAAAAGGTCGATTTTTTCAAAATCGGCTCTAAGGCTTAAGGTGGAATTTTTTTTTCAGCCTTCTTATGACTCCGGGAATCAAATGCCGAAAGAAAATCGGTGGTGCAAAAACTTCGCATTTAAATCATGTTCAAGCCCACCGTGCAGTTATAGTTACTCCAATTTATAAAAATATTCCCGAATAGATTCCTGTACACTTATAGTTGAAAACAAATCGAAGAAAAATTAGGTTCCGCTGGGGATCAAACTCATAACCTTTGGTTTATCGCTAGACCTCGGGAGCGTATGCGATATAGTAATTAACTTATGTATATTTGTTACCATGTAACCGTAGATTTAGTAATTTGGAAACTGATATTCAACATGTTGTTTTCTGGCCGTTTCGGCCAGACAGTTGCACCGATCCGGAGTGGTTCCAGTGCCATGATGGAGCATGTATCGCGACAGTACTGCGCTGCGACAATTTCTATGACTGCAAGGATTTTTCTGACGAGCAAAACTGTGTCGGTTAGAAACGTTTTCTCTATTTTGGTGCTACTGGTTCTCTAGGTGTTTTTTATTATATATGTGTCAGTTTTTAGGGTAGCTAACTTAGGTGGAAGGTACCGTAGATTTATGAGAGGTTATTGAAGTATACGGTTGATCAGGGTTTGCTTCATTAATTAATAATAAAGGATTTATACTCGTAGAAGCTGTTTTTGAAATAGATGTAGATATTGAACCATAATTATTATATATGGATGTATCCTAAAAACGTAAAAAATGTATTCTAAAAATTCTTTGTGAATAAATGGAATTAGTTAATATTATTTTAAATAAGATTTAGTTAGCACAAGTATTAATTGTGGATATAAAATACAGTGGGAATTTTTTATATAGTTAAAAATGTAATCTTCATAAGTAGAGATAACAATTTTTTTAAATTATGAAACAAAAAGATTTCAAAATGAACTGAAAATAGAAAAAGTCAGAATAGTAAATAAATCAAATGTATTATAATATTTAGTAACAAGGAATTTTGCCAGTTTCAACTGAACTTATTTTCCATTTATTCTTACTAAAAATGTGTCAAGAAATTTACAGGAAGAACTTTAACAGTCATCAATGTTCATAAAGTATGAAAATTGTTTTTGTGATTTTATGTAAGTAAACAGAATTTGTCGCTCTTTGTTGTGGATTACTTTAATATATTTTAGATTAGTAAATTCATGAGGGGGGGTCAATTGTACATAGATTATTATAAATTATTGTTATCATCTCAATTTTAACATTACTCTTAAACGCTTCATGACTTTTGCTTACTATTGAAGCATAAATAAAATATTTTGTTTCATAATGAATTTGAAATTTAAACCCTGATCAACCTTCAAAACATTTAGAATGATATTCGATAACTTCTATTACCTAAAATATAGTGTATGTACCTGTAGGTCGTCCAAAACTATTTATCGATTTTAATGTATGTATAATAATTTAAAATAAATAATTTTAGTAAATTAGTTAAGTCTAGCTATACCCGTTATTAATTATAAACCGAGTAGGTAATTATATTAAAGCTTAATTTTTTGCATGTTTCAATTATATTCCGTTTATTTATTTTGAAACACATCATTAAAAAATGTACACTTACTGTATTCATGCGGCTGTACGAGTGTACACCTATTGTTGGATTACCTCCCGTTTTAAAGCTATCTAGATCCATTTTTTCTTTATTCTTTTTCTATACATAATTCCATCGGGGTGGTTGGAGCCCACCAAATCGCCACTTCCAAAAATAGAGCATCTGGACGTACCTCTCGACGTTTTTAACCTGCAGAACTTTAATCTAAATGTTAGCTATCCCTAGACACCCTCAGCGAAAACTAACAGGTTTTTGATGGGTTGATAACCTGCAGGACTTTGATGAACTGGTAAGATGGCTGTCTTTAAATACCCTTCAACGACAACTAGCAAGTTTTTAACGAATTAATAGCCTGCAGGACTTTGATGAGCTGGGAAGATGGTTGTTTCTAGACACTTCTCAGCGGCAACCAGCAGGTTTTTGACAACTTAAGAGGCAGGTCCTATATGTCACTGAAGGATGCAATGGAGCCTAAGTGCTGTGGAACTACCCATCCTCCCCCACCTTAAATATACAGAGACATATACTGTCTGAAAATGGAATAGATTGAATAGATCCCTAAAATTAACATTCACTGTATTAGAAAGTCCATTGGTGCCTGGTGCGCAGTTTCGGATCTTCTTCAACTCTTTCTAAACTTTCTTTCTGAACCTCTTGTATCCTAGTCATACGATTGTGTCCATATTCAATCGTTGCAGCAGCAAAACTACTATTTTCTTGAAGACGCCTTTCAATAACGATAAATGTTTGGTGGTTTGATACGCATCTATTTAAAAATACAAGTGTTCGCCCAGTGATCGAAATTCGACCATAATCATTATTGAAAATTCGAGGGGAATATGCAATAAAATGACAGTAACTAACAATTTAAAAACCCTCATTTATTGATATGAAATACATTTTTGTCACAGATTTTTGCTAAACTGATTCTGAATAATGAGCAGTTTCTTCTTAAAATTTCTTCTTCTTGACATTTATTCTTGACATTTTATCTTTTGACATTAGACATTTCTTCTTCTTGACATTTCTTCTTCTTGGCATTTGTTCTTCTTGGCATTTGTTCTTCTTAACATTTCTTCTTCTTCGCGTTTCTTCTTCTTGACATTTCTTCTTCTTGACATTTCTTCTTCTTGACATTTCTTCTTCTTGACAATTCTTCTTCTTGACATTTTTTCTCCATGACATTTCTTCTTCTTTTCATTTCTTCTTCTTGATATTTCTTTTACTTGATATTTCTTCTTCTTGACATTTCTTCTTCTTAACACTTCTTATATTTACTACACTTAGCCCCCCTCCCTCAAGTGACGAAGTGTGATTTGTTCTTCGAAGGATCATAATGGTTCCTTCTAAAAAAGAACGTTCAGACAATATAATACTGTTCCAATCATTAATATCCTTTATAAAATCAATTGTCAACTTTTTTGTGGGAGGTGAAGGTAGTAACGAAAGTCGGATTGCAGGGGGTACGTCAAGGGTGGGGCCATAAAAATTTGGTCTAAATCGGAAAATGGAGTCCATCATAAAACTCTTTTTCACCTTACAATACATTGTCTCCATGACTTTCCATTTAGGTGTGCCTGATGATGAAATAATCACTTCGAAACCGGTTGTGAGAAATAAAGGACTTTTCTTTACACCCAACCACTCACATATGACTACCCTCACCCCTAGTTTAAAAAGAAAATAGTTGCAAAGTGCTAGTGTCCAATCAGAATTCAATGTCTTAAAGTATTAACCATTAAGAACACGTAACACATCATCAAGTGGACCCGAGAATCGAGTTGTTTCAGTAAACGTTGACTAGACACATGCGCAGACTAACATACCTCTTTGTCGGTATTTTTTTATGCTTTGTGTTTTTTGACATTTATTAGTATCTCCTGAAGTATGGTTTTAGGGTTTTAAACCTCACATTATACAGGTTTCTTGAACATTACCTACCTACCTACTATTTTTTTTCCTTCTATTTTGAATTTGGATTTGTAAATAATAGGTACCTACTCATAACATACCTACCATTTATTTTTACTGTTACTATTATATTGTTTAAATTTTTTCCTTAGTTGTTTAATGGATTTATTTTAATTTCTAATACTTTTATAATTTATTTAAATGATTATTATTGGTAATTAAGTTGATTTTTGCACCGTGACTTTTATACATTATTCGCATGAATTTTTTTCCTGCACCATTTTACTTTGTTTTTTTATTTTTTGTTACATTTTGTTTTTTTTTTCTTTTTGTTCTGTAGCAACTTGTGCCGATGGTTTTTTCCAATGTTTAGAAAATTACAACTGTATCCATATCAGTTTGCATTGTAACGGCAGGAATGATTGTTCAGACGGTTCTGACGAATTAAATTGTCCAACTGAACCACCTACTACTGTTTTCCCAGAAACCACCAGACCCAGCGTTTCATGTCCCGGAGGTTATCAACATTGCAGATCGAGGGACCAATGCATTCGACAGGATCAAATTTGCGACGGTCGAGGTGATTGCTACGATTTGTCAGACGAGCTCAACTGCCGTAAGTATTTCCAGACTATACTTTCTCCACGACCAACATAAGCATGGGAATACTAGAATGCTATTATCAATTAATTTTATAATTTTTAGCCTCTTCCGCTAGAGAATTGAACTTAAAGACTTATCCATCTGCTACAGAAGAGAGAGAACGTAAGTATTTTCATATAATTATATATTATATAAAAAAAAACAAATTCTCTCATGGTAATCAAAAAATTAAATTAAGATCAAGCAGTCTTGTTGAATAATTAATATTGAAAATAATAGCCACTACTTTTTCGTGTACCTACTTTTACTTTTTATTTGTATTTTAGTTTCTTTTTCTGTTTCTTCTTTTTTGTTATTTTTCATCAAATTTTTACTTTTATATGTTTCTACCTTTTTACCTTATTCATTATTTTATATTTTCCTTTCTATTACCTATCTTTCCTCGTTTATATACTATTTCTTTTCAACTACTTTACACGATTGTCTTCTACTACGTCTACTTTTGCTTCTATTATCTTTTCTTTTTTACTTGTATTTATTTATTTTTGCTTGTTTAACGGTTTGTTTATCATTTCATTTGTATTTCCCATTTTTCTTTCATTTAATTTCACTTTTTTCTATTTCTATTTCTTCATTTTTTATTTGATTTTCTATATATTTGTCCTTTCTTCACTTTTCTGTTTTTTTATTATACGTGTTTCTCTTTTTTCTATTTATTCCTGTTTTCTCTTATCCTTTTATTTTCTTACTTTTTCTTTATTTTCTTTCTTTTTTTTTTCATTTTTTCTAAATGGTTCTTTAATTATTCTTAGTTTGATTTAAAAAATTATAAGTTTATGCAATTTTGTTCATAGACCTAGTTTCATTATTACCTTTTTTTTTCTTTAATTATTTCACTTTTTATTCTTTTTTATACCACTTTTATAATTTTTTTGTCCTTTTTTCATTCGTTACTTCTATTTCTTTTAACTTACATTTTCTTTCATTGCGTGACCGCCGTTTTCCTTTTTTAAACTACTTTTTCTTTTTATTACTATTTTCTCCATTACTTAATCTTCCCTTTCTTTCTGAACTTTGCATTTTTACAATTTCCTTTCTTCCCTTCCCGTTCTTGTTTACTTATTTTGTTTTGTGTTAATAATGTTTACTGTAGTTATCATGAGAGATTTAAAATGTGTTCTAATCTATTCTTCTATTTTAATCTGTTTTGTTTTTGTGTCTGTGCAACAGAGGTTTATAAAACTGGTGAGTAGGATCAAAGATAATGGGCTCGTGTGAAAATTTGGCTCGTGTGAAAATTTGGCTCATCATTCATTTACATTCTCAAAAAAATACGTACTCAAATTAAATACACATTTTTTAACATTTGATTTCTATCATTTCTTTTTTGAAAAACATATCGAGCACACAAGAAAATAAATATTTGAGATGAAACAATAATTAACTGATTTTTAAATAAATATATTAATTGATTTCCATATTAATACAATAATTTAAAAAAATATTATATACTTAAACAATATAGGTACCGTATTGTTTTTTATTATTTAAAAGTGTTTTTAATCAGTAAAGCAGTACTTCTCAAGCCAGTATCTTCAATTAAAGATAATAATTACATTTGATGATTGACACAGATCACAAAAAATGTACCTAATCCATACCTTCATTGTTGACAGAAATTAAAGTTTCCGAGTTTTTTAAATTTTATATTAAAGAATGTTTGCGTTTGTCTTTTTGAATTATGTCATCTAAATCTTAATACATAATTAAAAATATTTAATTAGTTATTCTTTTTAGTAAAACAAACATTCAAATATGTGCTTTTTTTTTATTGGAGTTTTTATGTTTAGAAATAAAATGAAATTTTCAATTTAAACTGACGAATAAACAAACAAAAATACATTTACATATTTAATCATTACATTTTTAACTTTTTTTCATTACATTATTTGTAAAAACAACGAATCCCTATTGTATATATCTAATATTCCTCCATTTCATATACTTTTCCCATCTTATACAGTATGGCCAACTTAATACCTCTGTAAAATGCATCAGTTGAAAAATACGCCTTTTACAAAGATATTAAGTGATGCACACTGTATAAAACATTTTCAGAGTAACAAGGTAATATCACTCATGTTGCTAATTGAGTTTTTTTTTACTCACCCTGTAAATAATCGTTGCTTTCCTTAATGCGGTATAATGTTTAATTTAATTTTTAATTTTGCAACACCAGTACTGTAAACCTTCTTATTTAAATAGTAGTGCAAAAAGCAATACTTTTCTCCCTGTGGGCATATAAGCAAGCAGAAAAACGGCTTTACGCACTATACTTTTTCTACCACGTTTTTAAATATTACAAAAAGTACCATGGAAGAGTAATTAATACATTGTTGGTTTACAGTTCTGATACGTACAAAGATGTGCTGGAAGGTTTGTAGGGTATTTCCTAATAAAGTGGAATAGTCTTAAATTCGGTTTAGGGAAGTCCACCCTTAGATATATGATAAATGATTTATTTCAATAATTTTTGAAAATTCTTCAAGTGGACGACAAAATTCAATAAAGGATCCAAAGCAAAGGAAGAAAACTTGGAATATGTGAGACATTATTAGTAGTTGAACATCTTAATCATTAAAAAAAATCATAGTTTTAATAAGAGAGAGATATGAAGACGAGCAAGATAAAGTAGAAGAGGAAGAAGCTTGCATCTATTTATCACAAGCATGTATAGGCAATGTATATCAGAAAAATTAAAGATCTAATGAATGAGAATAGATAGGAAAACAAAAATTGTAGAAGTAAAGTAGTTCTCAACAAACACAACAACTAAAAAGAGAAATAGAAACTTTTTAAAATGAATCAATAAGCACAAAAAATTGACAAACGACGGTAGGTACTGAATACTCTGTGGAAAGCGGCTTATACCACCAATTACCAATTGGAAAGAATTTTCGCCAGATCACATGCATTCTGATTGGTCATTTTCAAGTACGGAAGCATCTCTAGTGCATGGGGCTATCAGAATCCGCTCTTTTATTAGATTTGTGTTCGGCGAGTATCATCGGCTAACACCGGCTGATATAAGAGAAGAACATCTTGGCGACTTTGTCAACTACATTAAATCTGTATGCTGGCTCGCGAGCTAGAAGGTGCCCACAATTTAGGAGGATGCACGATGGGCCTAGTGAGGCATAAGTGCCGTGAAGTAACCCACCCTCCATACGTTACAGACACAGATGCTACCAATTAAAGAAGAGAAAGGAAACTGGGCAAAATCAAATAAAACAAAGCTAACATGTTTGCGATTATCTCGAAAAAAATTCCAACCAAATGAAGAACAATGACTCGATTGTTCAATCACCTAAGTGGTAGCAAAGGAACTCAAAGAAAGAAACTATTAATTCTAAGAAGACACTATGATCTGATCTGATCACAGATGAAATATTAAAATAATTGCCAAAAAAACTGTGGTAAACTCACTAATATAATAAACGCTGCATTACGACTGCAACATAAACCTAGCATCTATAAACTCGCTGAAATTATATTGATGCCTAAACCTGGAAAATCGCCAAATGAAGACCTATATATCCCATTTACTGGTGTTTTCTCAACTTTTTTTAAAGCTTTTACTAAATATATTGAAACCCATCAGAGACAGTAAAAACATTAATACCAGACCACCAATTGGGATTCAGGTTGTCCACTATGAATCAAGTCTACTCCACTGTTGATCAAGTTGACTTCACTATAGAGCAAGTCAACATGAAATAGAGAAAACACTTCGCATCTTTTGGACGTAGCTCAGGCTTTCGATAAAATATGTTTATAAAATAAATAAAGTTATACTTGAATAATATTGTGATATCTTAAAATCCTACTTCACCGATAGTGACTTTAGAGTAAAACAAGAAAAAGAATATTCTACGCCCAAAAGAAATTAAAGCATGGTTATTACAAGGAAGTACCTGCGGGTAGTTATATACTTGTTTCCCTTCGATATACCACGGAAGCAAAATGTGAAAGTAGCCATATTTGACGACACAGCTATCGGTAAAACCTTAGAAAAATCGGCCAGAAAACTTTAACATAGATATAAAATTGGTTGAAGAAATACATAAGAAAAAAACGGAAAGGGTTAGGCATTAAATATACAGAATTATTATTGGTTGATGAAAAGAAAATGAGAACTTTCCAGTGGCGTGCGGTGACATTTTTAGAAGGGGAAGCGATTGTATAAAGATACATCGGCCAGTAAGCACAGCGCCGCAGACGAAAATTTTTCGCGGCGCATTCACCATTTTGTCAAACTCTGTTACTATTACTTTATTACCTAGTTTAGTAATAGAATCTATTAAAAACTTACCATTGAAAAGCTTCCTCGGTTTATCTAAACGTAAAAAAAACATTTAACTGAATTTTTTTTATTTTTTCCAGCTTTTTTCCAGCATTTTTCGCACAGTTGACACAGCAGTTGACATTTATTTATACTTAAGATCTATTCGCCTATCCTCAATGGCTGCAAATTTGTCTATAACATCGTCGTAAAAATTTGGGATTTTCTGATAACTGTTTAACAAGCTGTTTTTCAATGGATATTAGGGCTAAATTATAGAGTCTGTCTTCACTTGTTGAATTTCGTATAAAACTTTTAATGCGCTTTAAAGCTGAAAACGCACTTGTGGCTGTGATGGTTAGTACTAATTCACACAACTTGACGACTTCACAAAGGGACTTATTTAAACCAGTTGTTATAAGAAAATTTAACACATTGATGGGCGTCTTTTTATCACTAATTTCAGTTTTTCATAAACAACACTTAACTGGGACTTTAATGCTGGAATATCGAAAAAAATTCCATAATTTAATTTTAGTGAATTAAAAGCTTCCGATGGAAATTTTGATGAATCGTAGTTACTAATATTAAAATTGCACAATTCAACAATTTTAATTCGTTAAAGTTTTGAAATCGAGGGTTCATTTGTTGTAAAATATTATTAAAAATTTCAGCGTATAATCGACGATAGAAGGTCTCTCTGTCGCCAACATTATTAATTCTAATTCTCTTTCTTTCAGGTTCTAAGCCAATGTTTTGAGTCTTATTCCAAAAGTGTTCAAACTGATTTCGTTTTTTATTCATTTTATTTTTAAAATCATCAATTTGTTTAATGCAAAAGCAAATGTCATTTGACTTTGTCTGTAAAATGTCGAATAAAATATCAGTAAAAGAGAAAATATCTGCAAAAATGTTGAGCAAAAAACTTAAATCAAAGTTTTGTTTGAGCCAATGCAAATAACCTTTAGCGGCAGTAACAGTTTCAGCATCCCATATTTCTTTATTATCCCAAACGTCTTGAAAAAAGTGTATCAAAGAATCACAGTATTAAAACACTCTGTGCACTATACGTCCATTGTAGTTCCATCGCGTCGGAGCAATTTTTGGAAACCTTTTTTGAACGTGAATGTCCAAAGCGTGAGTTCTTTTCGATAACTTTGAAAAGAAGGAAGCGAAACCACTAAGCGTCGAAAAGAAAACTTTGCAATCTTTAATATTATCCATTCTTCGCGATAAAACCAAATTAAGTCTATGTGCTATACAGTGAACGAAAATTGCATGTTTAAACTTCTCTTTCACTTTAGCTTGAAGGCCTCCTAAATGGTCGCCATTACGGCAGCACCATCGTAGCTCTGGGCAACAAACTTAGAACCACATTATAAACTTGAAATAATGTCACAAACAATTTTAAACAATGCATCTACAGTTCGTTCGCTAGTGACGTCCAAAAACCCTAAGAATCGCTCTTGAGGAATGCCATCCAATACATATCGCACAACAATAGATAATTGACTTAAGTTTGCTACATCTGTGATTTCATCAAGCGCAATTGATACGAAAGATGCTTTTTTAATTTCATTTTTAATGTGATCCATCACAACGTCGGCAGTGCATTTAATTAAATTATTTTGGATTCTGTTTGAGGTACGTCGGAAAGTCATCGAATCAGTAAAATGATTTTTTAGGGTATCATCGTATTTTGCTAAAAAAACTTAGAAGGTCCATGTAATTTCCTCGATTGGAGGACCCACTTGCTTCATTGTGACCCCTAAAACTTAGTTCATGCTCTCCCAGGAAACAAGTTACATCTGTTAATCGTTGTAAGACGTCCCTATTTTTTTTACCCTTTCATTGTGAATTTTATTGCTTATTTTTAAATGATTGTCCAAACTATATTTAATGCGATAGGTCCCGAATGTTTTTTCTTTAATTGTAGCACAAGATTTGCTATTTACATGTCGTTTTACACTTTTGTGAAAATTATTCGTCTGTAATACCGACTGAGTTTCAATGTGATTTTTCGGCTATATTAAAAAGTAGGCAAGGCCAGCAAAACAATTTGTTCAAAGTTTTGCAGCCGGTTAACCATTCATATTTTTCATAGAACCCTACGTGAAAATGCCTGATAAATTTATTTGCTGACTTTTCTACTTTCGTCTCTAAATTGATAGGATTCTTTAGTCTACTAGAATTAATAATGTCCGTTTTCTCTTCAAAATGTCCTTTTTTCAATAAAGAGCACACAATACAGACACAATTTACCACATTATTATTGTTCACAGACACAGTGCATAGTTCCTCCATTTTACAAAAAGAAAAACAACTACGAAAAACAAACCAAAATCTATCTGAACTTTACGATTTTCCTCACACGTCGATTCGCGGTACGAATTGCAATATGCATAAGGCGACGTAAAAATCGCTGCCTCTCGACCGTATTTGACGTGTCCAAACAGACTGACTACTGGCGCTGCAAAGCAGGGTCAGTAACACGAAGCGAAAACAATTGGAAGATGAGCCGGCTTTTTCAAGATGCGCCTCCGCCGACGGACTCGAACTATGGTGTGTGCGTTTACACAATTAATTTTCTCATGGGTGGTGCGTGCGTTTACACATTACACCAATGAATTTTTAGTACATTTACGAAGTTTACGTAAAGTTTCAGACAAAATATAGTATCTAATTTAATATTAATTTCTATGCATTGTAAACTGAAATATATTTATTTTTAAATCTCAAAGTGTATGGCAGCGGTGCTTCCCCCGCTTCGATGGACCGCACGCCCCTGGAACTTTCAACCAAAAATAATCTAATAATACATAAACAAGTTCAGTGTGGACTTACCGCATAAAGTTGTGGCTATCACTCTAAAAATCACATAAATATAATAAGGTTTTTGAATCACAAAAGGAAAGGAACGTAGAAATTAGAAATTATATAATCTTGAGAGGTATCCAATTAAGTGGCGCCCAACGTGGGGCTAGAAACTTTAGATTAAAATTAGAAATTGAAATCGCAATCCAAAATCGAAACTGGTAAGGCTTTTTATGTTTGCATTGTGTATTAAACTAATGTTTTGGGTCTAAATTTGCTAATCAAAAGTAGAAAAATCACAAATATAATACGTTTTCGGAATAAAATATTAAGGGCAACCTTGATATGTAAGAACTCAGACCTCAGACCCTCAAAGTGATCTGAGAATGCAAATAGTCGAAGAAGATAGTAAAAATATGTAAAACATAAGAAGTGGATACATGATAATGTCAATAAATAATTTCTATAATTCTCAGCCAATATCAAGAAGACTCAAAAGGACCAAGCCATTTGAATTAGTGATGTGAAATTGTGTAAAAACAGAGCACGGTGCGCGTGTGCATAGTTCAGAAGTTGGTACATCAGAACAGAAAGGCGAAGATACCATTGGGTGAACTCTTAGTTTTATAAACATTTTCAGCGTCATTCTACCAACCTTTCAATACATTTCGGTATATTTTATTTAACCCCATCTGCATGATTTCTACACTCTATATTCTGGAAATTAATATTTGTTTTATAATCTAGGACAAGAAGTGGTATTGACTTGCAGAGACGAAGGTCCAATTAGAGCCAGAGTCCATTGGGAAAGAGCTAATGGAGCACCGCTACCATTTAACAGTACCGACATACGTGGAAGATTGACCATGCCGAATATTCAACTAGAACATGCTGGTACCTACCTTTGCGTCGCTAATGATTACCCGCAAAATACACCCAATGCAAGAGTTTCTGTACCATTGACAGTAATCCGAAGTAAGTTATTTTAAATTGATTTTTTTACTAATTATATGAAACATAAATATCTTGAATGATTTAGCTACGTTTAATGAGACATAGCGATCCCAATTACTTTCGTTCTACGATAGGTATCGCTTTGTATCGATCCATAATATCATTTTGGAGCGTTTAATTTTTGAGCTAGTTTTGAGCGGAAAAGCAAATAAAAACAACCCAAAAGACAACGCCTAATACCTATCGGCATTTGCGATTGCTTGGAAAATATATCTTTCTTGTTATGCATTATATAGGGATGATTTCATTAAAGAATTGTCGGTTAAAACAATTTTAATGTTTGCAAATTGAGCGTACTGTTTAGAAAGTTGATTATGTTACCCCAATCGCAGCAAGAATTCGATACATTTATTGAACACATCTATTAAAGTGGTATTCTGTTCTAAATAGTCAGTTTGAATTAATCATTTTAATTCATTCATTATTAACGAAAATAATAATCAACGACGCTGGTTCACACATTTTATGTTTTACTGAATGCATCAGTTGCTCCGGACCATTCTTATTAGTGATCTCGTAGACATAAAATGCTTAGGTACTACACTGCCCTGCTAAACGAAAATGCCGTCTGTGCTAAATCGCCATTTTGAGATATAAACCTTTTTTTTTCGAAAGTTTGAAGTTTGTTACAAACTATATAAGGTGCGAATAGTCACGTCATCTTTACTTATGTCCAATTCAAAGGCCGGTGATAATTAATTTACCTCATAATAACATCCTTAAATATTTAATGTAATTTCTATAATATTCATGAAATTTCTGTAAATTTCCTCACACTTGGTCAGTATTTTTAAATTCGCGCCTATACAAACTCTACGAGTGACGTCATGCGCGTGGCCGTCCTATTTTTAACACAGTTGATATCCTACCTTTTATTTTTTATACCATGCTAGAATACCATATTCTAATTCGACGAAATACTTAGGCATGGATCTAGATATTAAATTAAAGTGAGAAGAACACATTAAAAAAACGGTAAGAGTTGGGTTTTAAATTTAGAAAACTATGTTGATGAATAGAAAATCAAAACTTTCAATCGAAAATAAACTTTTAATATATAAATGAGTACTGAAGCCAGTATGGACTTACGGCATACATCTCTGGGGCTATGCTAGTAAAACTAACATAAATATAATACAACGTTTCCAGAACAAAATATTAAGGGCAATAGTAAACGCCCCTTGGTATGTTAGGAACTCAAACCTACACAGAGATCTGAGAATGCCTACACTCGAAGAAGAGAGGAAAGCCATCGCAAAAAACATAAGAAAGACTGCATTTTCACGTCAATATTGAAGTTTTACAGTTTCTGGACAACCGATACCTAATGAGAAGGCTCAGAAGGACCAAGCCATTTGAATTAGTTAAGTGAAAGTGTGATAAAGCAGAGCACAGTTCGCATGTGTAGTATATAGTTATTAGAACAGAAAGAAGAAAATACCATTGGGTGAACTCTTAGTTTTAAGCCTCTTAAGTTTACTTACGTTTATAATAAAGATAAACTACTGGTTGGCTGAAATATAGCTAGGTGCAATGCAAAACTAACAAAAAAAATAATAAGGCGGATGTGCCTATTCTGGAGGTATGGCACTCGCCTTTTATTTATTTTTGATCTACTTTCCTTCCATTTGAGAGTAACCTCGGTCATCTATTTTATACATATATAAAATATAATCTCATAAGATTGTACTATAACTACACTGGATGAAAAACAGCAAAAACCCAGTTTTTCTGCATTTAAAATGCTTCCTTAGTTTCAAAATTGACAATCTCCATCATGCCTGTTGTTTCAAAAATGGTGATCTCCGAACTAGCCATTCTTATATTGAATTGGTTGCTGCAAAATAAGCTATATTCCTCAAATGTTATTTTAAAATCCGCTATTAGTCCATCTCCAACTTTTTAACTTAAATAGTAAATAAATAATTACTATTAACCTCTATAATACGATTACATTATTTTCTAAATATATTTTTATTATTTTGTGTAACGTTCAATACTCGAGTTTGGTTAATGCCCGAAAAAAATGCGCAAATCTAATTTTGGACAATAAATATTTCCCAAACCCAAAGTTACCTATACTTTTTTTGTAGCGATGGAGTGTTACAAAATAGTCAGAACTAGTTTTGCACATTTTTAATTGTGCAAAACTAGTTATACCAGTTATTTTGTTACTAAATAAATAAAAAAAAATACAAATTATGACTTAATACAGTTTTCTTCGATATGTGCGATGTGATATATTATAAATCACCACAAAGTATATGCCCATGGAAAACTTAATAGTGATATAGAATCAGAAGAAGAAAATATACAACAAGAAGCAATTCAAATTGCGCAGAAGGACCGACGTGTCAATATAGAAATGGTGTCAGGATCGCGAGTCCAGTTTTCATAAAATATCAAGTTTTAAAGTGACCATCCTGTGCCGAAGTTTTGAATACATACTTTAATTAAATTAAATATCAAGTGTAGTGTGTATTGGAAAAGTGATGACTATATGGTCAGACGCACGAGATTTCAGCTTTTTTATGAAATTTCATTCTACAAAAGAACATAACCTGGGTAAATAATCCTTAAGGATTGAGCCCATATAAACAAGAAAGAAGAAAAAATTGCGCAAAACTAGTTCTGCATATTTTGTAACACTCAATAGCCGTGGAAGAAGACAATTTCGGGTATGGGAATTATTCGTTAAGCAAAATTAGTTTTGCGCATTTTTTCGGGCATTACCCGAATTCGAGTATTGTGCGTAACATTTATAAGAAAAAAACTGCCTCTCCTGAAAAAGATTGCAAACTTTGATACTAGTGGCCTCATTTGTATTCTCATACTCGTGTTTAATAATAACTAATGTGCGTATACTATTTTTGCTTATTGACAAGTGACAGGCTATCGACTATTAAGAGTATGGTCCGTTATTAACCGAAATATCGGTTACTCGGTCCAAAACTAACCACTGTGTCTGACATTCCTGAAAAATCGGTTAAATTAGGGACGGGGTTACCTGAAAATAATGACTCAAACGTCAATTCCAGGGCTGCCAGAGTAAAAATGACAAATCTTACTGAAAAACATTTTAAAACGTACTGAATTTCAAAAAAACGTACTGAATAACCAAATTAAAAAACGCTATATTTTATGAAAATGTACCAATACTTAAATCGAACAACGCCTTAAAACTGGCTGGAGATTTTAAGTTCATTAAATATTAAATAACTTTTATAGAAACATTTTAAACATTTACAAAAATTTTACCCTATAAGAACAAATGAAACAAGTGAATTAAAAATGATTTGCTTGTGGTTTAACACTTTTATTAAATTATATAATCTTTATGTATAACAAAAAAAAAACGTCTTAATCCATTTTACTTTCAGAATTACAACCAACAATTTCAAATAAATTATTTGACTCATCACATGACTTAACTGTCAACTGTCATCCATCGTTAGTAAAATACGTCACTTTATTCAAAAAAATGTCAAAATAGTACTAAAAATGGTACTATTAACCATTTTTAACAAAAACGTACTAAAACTAACAACTTAACACTGACGTACTGAAAAAGTTGAAAAAGTACTGAATTTAGTACAAACGTACTGAATCTAGCAGCCCTGGTCCATTCAGTAACCGCTATATTTTTACGGTTACTATTAAATCGAATGTCAGTAGGTCACAAAAATGACGTAAATCTAGGCCGTGGTCTAAAAGTAACCAAGTAATTAATATTTTTCAGGAACCGCTGTCAAAAAATCCTGGTTACTAGCGGTTAATAGTCGGTTAATATCGGACAATACTCTAAAGTTGCGAGTATGAAGACTAGAGAGAAGGAGACGAATCGGCAATGCTCAAATTTCAAATTTCCGTCCTTTTTTTAAAGTTCGCTAAATTGACTTTAGTTGGCAGGTCAAACGTCATTTTCTATGTAAGTCAATGTAAAATGAAGTGATTTTTTAAAATTTTTGGTGAAAAGAATTAAAATAATGTGAAAAAAGTACCTAAGTACAAGTAACATGAGTGACAAAAAATATCAAAGCAAGGTTTACTTCGTTCCAGATTGTAAAACCGAATACAAATCAGATGTAAAACTAAAGAAAACACAGGAGAAATCAATTCAATGTCTTTTTAAAGCTTCTAATGTAAATAAAATAATGTATTTATGTCTAAATATAATATTTATTATAAACTAGTCACAATACGTATCTTACGGGTTTAGTTTATTTAATTACAAGTCTTTATAATATAAAATTTACAGTCATAGATCCAGACTTACAAACAACAATAATTATACATTTATATTTAACTTACTAGAAAAGAAAAGTTGTTTTTTATAGAGCTTTAATGATATAGAGCTTTAATGAGATAAAGAGTTGCTACTGTTATTTTTTTGTTGAACCCCAATTTTGTCATTGTAAAGTTTTTGTTATATGATCATAAAAGCTTAGAACAGTGGCAGCATATATAAAGAATGAGGCAATATCACGTACATTTCCAAATCTCCCTTTATGCTTGTATTGTAACAAAAAAAATCTGTTAACTGTGTTTTATTTTGCTCTTGAAACTACATTTAGGCATAATTAAAAAAAAATTAGGCACAAAATTGTACTTACCAAATTTCATCATTTAACAAACCTTTTCGAATTTGGTCATACCTATCTAATTTGCATTTTATATAGATAAAATTAAATAATTTATCAATTATAACATGTGAAACTTATTTAGAAATAAATACAACAGTATGTTCTGTGCTTTATTTAGCTGTAAACAAGTTTATTTTTATTATTTTAACAAAATTATGTATAATTCCCATAAGAAACCATGTATTTTGAACAACGTATGCAGTACCAGCGCCCATGCGGTTAATTATAGAAGCTCAATTAGCATGCGTTTTTTGAGACCGTATTTTGAGTATGCCGATTCGTCTCCTTATCTCTAGTCTTCATAAACTAGACGAATAT